AACCGGGGCTTCTAAAAACACTCAATACTATTGCACCTGTTCATATTGCGCTCCGCTCTGATTCCCCCCAAAACACGCTCTTGTTGGTCCTTGGGAATAACACAGGCCCTTTTTGAATGCCAAGGTGCGTTCACCAGATTGAGTGTGAGGTCCACAGCACTGCTGACAATCCTCGGAGATCGTCACTCACGTTTGGGTTTGAGGGCTTGTCGCGCGGGTATCCAGTCAAACATAGCACAAACAACGGATCCCCCTAGAAAGCTGCGAGGGGCGGGCAAGTTTGGGGCTGCACATTTGCAAGTTGAGTAGTTCCTGCTTCTTCAGAGTATGCATACTGGTACAACACATACAGCAAATATCGCTTTCCCACATCCATCTCTCCAATGCTTTCAAACTTCTTCCCAGGCATGCTGTTGGAAAGAGGCTTCTGCTGGCTAGGATCAAGAAGAGGTCGAACTTCACCCAGTTGCTGCGAAGCACAGCTCTCCCATAAGCGTAGTATCTCATGGCGAACCTTGCCGTTGCGCAGGGTAAATTAAGCATTTTAATTTGCGCCACCATGATGTGCGTTCGATTTTTCTTTGTAGGCAACGCTATCGAAGCATACATGAGACTGGAAGCCAAACAACACCAAGATCTGAACGGGAAAGGTGAAGTCAGAACCATTGGCCAGCAGCACTATCCTCGACAAATGCAATGGCCATACATAGTGCTTGCGGCGGCTATCAGCTTCGCTCATCAGTATCATTCGGAGTACCGGAACAGTTCTCCTAACTGCTGTCGTCATTGTCGTCTTGGAACTAGAAGCATCATCATCAGCTACGCGCGATCTCGCTGCATCAGCCTCGCTGTGCATCCTCGCCAACTCAGCTGCGTGGAACTGGTGACCCTGGCTGTGGGCAACCTCCATGCTCACTGAAAACATCCAGCGAGTGGCTGCCCCATGAACAACGGAAACCCTGTTAAGTCCGAAAAAACTCAATGGAAACAGTATAGGCATAGGCAAGAGGCTCCGTGACATAAACCTCAGTTGGTCAACAACACCATATATGGACGGCTCATGTGAAGGCAAGACTTTAGGATTACGGCTTGGGATTTCTTGCGGGCTGTCAGCATTAGGCGTTGTAGACCTTGTAAACACAAGGCTCAAGCTTACGGTCCCGACCTCTACGACTGAACCCCGGAACTTCCCATCGTGTAGGGGCCTGAAGAATTACCTATACTATTTTGGAGGGGCTCCTTGTTATAAGTAGGGCATACTCCTAAACCCTGACCGAAATATTAAAGTTAAAGAACGGGCCAGTGGGCAAATGGTGCCGGTGGCTGCGGTCTAAAAGCCCAAAACTCTGAGAGATTTTGCCTCTTCCGGCAAAGACGGCTAAGGCGCCGGCCAGGAAGAAGACATAGTCGAGGTACGTCAGCCATGGGGGGACGACGGCCTGAAGAAGTGCTAATCTCCGGGAATCAATTCCACCCGCCACAAACCCCAGAGCTCCGAAAAACCCACGAACCCCGCATAACTAATCCGAGGAATGCCCTTAAACTACAACCAGAATGCAAAATGCATCTTTGGCAGACTTGCAATCCCAAGAGGCGCAGGCGTCGAGGATGCCAATGTCACAAGCCTCTGAGACAGAATAGGGTTAAGGCTGAAGGGCGGAGAGATAAATTATAAGCGTTTAGAAGCTAGAACGAAGGCTTAAGGTTTATGGGCATGAGGAATGTCAGATGTATTGGATATCTGGGTTCAGGGTGTTGTACGACGATTTGCACACACACACACACACACAGCAGCTTTACATCAAAAAGGTGCCTTGGGATTTCGGGGGTTTCAATTTAAGTACTGCTGGAAGCCTTCGGCCTCAGAATCCACCGTTGGTGCTGCTCATGTGCTATCCACTCGCAGGCGTGGGCTCTGCATATTTCTACTGAAGGCTGATTACCAGAAGTCATCTATTCAGGGCTTACAGCTGAGGGAATGTCGCTGTTTCTCGTTGTCCCGAAACGACGGCCAAGCCGCGCAGCTAGCAGTGCAGCCCACGGGAATCGAAGCGTTGTAATGTGCCTGCTTTCCAACCAGGTGTCAGATTCAAGAGTGGAGGTTCCGAGTTCTACAAGTTTGAGCTAAATACGTCGAGTCCAGCCTTCTGTGCTGGTACTGGGGGAATCCTTTTCACAGGCCCGGGCAATACCGCAGCAATCCTAGTCTGACTTTTTCCTCTCCCAACTTGCCACGCTTCGTCACTCGGCAGACCGACAGCTTGTCATGGGAAGACCCAAACTACCCAACATTTCTTGTCATATGATACTAGAAAGGAGTCAAGCACGAAATGCACATGCTTAGACGATGTCAGCGATCGTAAACTGGACAGTGGTATCGAGCTGGAAAGCTGGGGAGCAGCTGGGTTGCGCCGGCTCTTCGAAGCAAGGAACCCCACGAACAAAAACCAAGTGCTGAATCAAAAGGGTTAGCAGTCAGGACTCAGGTTTCAGGACGTGATATCTGAACGCAGAAACCCACGTATGTCCCCAAACCCTTTGCAACTTGACCTTGGTGACATCCCCAAACCCCAGATTCTATTCCCGCAAAGAGCGGCACGCCTCCACGCCGATCGTCACGGCCTGGACCACTCTGGGCTTTTGGCCAGTGCTGGCTCGAAAAAGACTGTAAAACCTTGGGGCTTACGGCAGGCCTATCAAAGGCATGGATCCCAAAATAAACCCTCAGACCCTGAACCCTAAAACTGAAAACCGTCCAAGTCCAAACCCCAGGCTAGCGAACTCACCATCTCTAAGGGGCCTGAACCTTAAGCTATCCTAATCCTTAGAAAGCCAGGGCGGCTGTTGAGGGGTCACAGCCTCAACCGAACCCCCCAGGGTCTCCCTGCATTCACCATGATCACCAGGCCAATGATGGTGTCGAAGCCAGCCCTGGATCTCTCATTGCTTAGGGAAGGAGGGGGCCACGGAAAGGGGGCAGGGTGTTTCTGTTGTTCGGCTTCAGATTTCAGAGTTTCCCAGATCCTGAACAAAGCTAAACCTCAGTGATTCAACGAAAGCATCGAGGCCTGATGATCAGGGCCTGATGTGCTTCCAAATCCAAACCTAGACCTCCATGAAAGCAGCAGCTAAGAAAACCTGCTTCCCCTAGAACGACCCCTCATTCCGCAACTGCTTCATTCTTCCAAATAAGCACGGTGGCATGTCTCAAACCTCAGAGGATCCGGAACGCACAAATCCCTTGTCGAAGCTTCCCCCTGACCCCAACCCATACCCTAACTCCTAAAGCCAAAGACAAGCAACCCCGATATACCCGATCTTTCACGGGTGCTCTGCATCCCAAACTCTTGAAGCAAGTGATCTTCCCCAGCAAGTAAGGCTCCACAACCGCACCCGTCCCAACCCTGCAAGACATGAAGAACTGACACCCAACACAGCAGAAAGGGAGCCGCCTTTGAAGCTAGACGCAATGCTTTGGAGTTTGTAATATTGTAGCTGGAGTTTTGCAGGGATTACACGGCTTCCCGTCATTTTATGGGAGATTTGCTGGCGCGCGGTTGCAGAAGGCGCTTGCTAGGTGAGGCACCAGGAGATCCAACGATGCATGGTCAAGCGCGAGCCTTCAGACCAGTTACTGTTGTTTGTTTGCCACAATGACTAGAATAGGGCTTTGGGGCCCAATTTACTCTATTTATATTAAGGGGTGCAAGATTCTCTGCAGCCCCCTGCTTGCGCGGTGTTGTACATTGCGTACGACATGTTCTACAAGATGCTGCGCATGTATTCTGAACCCCAAGCCGCGAACCCAGGAAAACAAGCTTTCCTAATCCCACTGTCGAAGCGCAATGGTATAGCAAGAACGACGCGATGAGTGAGCAAATCGTGATATTCAAACTGAACAATTTGGAAATCCCCTCTTGATATGCTACGGTACTCTGTGTACGAATAACTCAGAGTATGCCATGTGCTACCCTACTGATTTGTCATGATTTGTCTCAGGATGTCACACAGCATGTACACGGGTCTTTCGCATCGTGTGTCATACCTGGTGTACGACACCTCTCATATACCATCCTCTACAGAAACAAACATGTGGAAAACTTTGCTGGGGTGTTTTTTGAGCGCTACTGATATGGCAGGAAAAGCAAAGAAGCAAGATAAACCACCCTAAACCCTAAACCCTAAACCCTAAACCTTAAACCCTAAACCCTAAACCCTAAACCGTGTATGTTCGTTTTGTCTACGACAAGGGAAAGACACAGAGGGCCGAGAGCCTTCAGGGTTGAAAGATGTTGGTTAGGGTTTAGGGTTTAGGGTTTAGGGTTTAGGGTTTAGGGTTTAGGGTTTAGGGTTCTTTATGATGTCAAAGGGCTGGGGTCTCAAAAATCTGTCTAAAGGTCTTAGGGTTCCCTCTCATTTCCCTTTAAACAAGCACTAGGTTAGTGTTTCGGGTTGGTGGAGTATTTCAGGGTTTGAGGTTTAGAACAGAATTTTTGGGCTTGGCCTTTCACTGGACATCCGATCGTTTACAAAATAGCGGGCTCCAAAGCCCGCAAGTCAGAGTGATTATACTGCACTGGCAAGTGGGTACCTTCCAGCCTTGGGCCAAGATTTGTGGGACTTTGCCTTTGCCATTTGCCCTTGGATTGAAAATGGCAATCGAACAAGACCGAGGGCGGAACTACACCAGCCCCTCCCGAAACGTACTTGCTCTACGTGCTCGTCGTTGCTGTGTCCCATGCCCAGTGCTAATGATTGAAAACCACCTCCTGGTTCTTCATCTGGCCATCAGTAGCGGCGCGACGAAACTCTGAAGACCATTAGCTTAAATCCCCATCCGCTGCACGACATCGAAACGCACATTGATCATCTTCCCTTGCCGGAAAGCCTTCAAGCCCTCGCACGTCCAGCTTCATCGCCTGGCAAAACATGGCCAAGGAGTTCGCTCATACACGCACACCATACTCTCTCGGATTCCCAAGGAACTAAAGGCTAAAGGGGCTGGTTCTATGGACTGCTGCCGCCCCTTCAGAGGGTTCAATCCTTACTGGTTCAACTACTAATTTTTCGTCGACCCAGCAAATCCTAAACCCGAAACAAGCCTTTATAGAACTTTAGGGTACCCGTCAAGGAACTTTTCCTGTAAAGAACCCCTGCCAGCGATCCTTACAGGGTAGAATCCGTACAGCCGTACAGTGACTTCATAACACACGTTAAAGGAGAACCTGACAGTACTCATATAGAGTTTTGAGTTCAGGGCTCATGAAAGGAACCCGGGCAGCACCCTTCAAAAAACGAAGCCACGAAGATCCTTCCAGAGCGCCTTGGCGACTTCGCTCGCCTTGTTTCCATAGTCGGCGGCCCTCCACTCGTACTCCTCCATCAGCTTCAGGGAGTTAGGGGCTCAGGGGTTGTAGCGTTTAGGGCTTCAGGGGCCCACAAACTTCAGAAATCTCGGGGCGTAGGGTTTTATAGAGCTTCCGCTAGAGGGATTTTGGGGCTTAGCGGTTTGAGGCTTCTGTCAAGGGTTCCTTGAAGGCTTCTAGAGCTATGACTGTACGGGTTCTTCGTAAGGGGTCTCTAACCTTCAGACCTTCTCCAAACCCTTCCTTTTCTCATAGGGCTTCAAAACGAGTTTCACCCGGGCTTCGTAAAGGCTGATGTAGTGCCAGAGTCGGGTTGACCTGTCGACAACCTACCAACCGCAGGCTGTGCGGCTTCCATCTTTCAGGGTTTGGCAACTCTCATCAACAAAAAGCTCGCGCCAACATGCAGCAAAAACCGCGACTGAAATCAAGACATGATGACGACTGCTGCTACTTTGGATGCAATATTCCACTGCAATCATGCACCATCGGGCGATCATTCAGATGCTTCTGCCGACATCGCTGAACCGCTGACTAATTACCTACCTTGTTCCTTCCAACGTAAAGCGGCTGAACCTTCCTAAAAAAAAAAAAGTACATGGCTCCTTTTGCCTTGCCCTACTTTTTGTGATGGGCCAGTGATGGGCCGCGTGAAGGCACTGCTGGGTCGCTCCTCTGCTTTCTGCTGGATGGTCTTCCGCAGCTCCTTCGACAGCGTTATGTAAGAATCTGAGGATTTTTTTCAGGGGTTTAGGGTTTAGGGTTTAGGTATGTAAGAATCTGAGGATTTTTTCAGGGATTCCCTCAAGGGGTTCCTGTAAGCCGGCTTTCATAAGGGTTGCTGTGAGGGTTGATGGGCGCGAAATCCGGAAGTCCCCGTCGGTCTTACTGACGCAGTTGCTGAGTTTAGAAGCAAACTTTCTGCTTCAATTGGTGTTACTTTATCCCCACAGCGATTCCAAGGCTCACTAGAAGAAGCGTCAACGACAGTATTGGTACTCAATCAGTCCCATATATCAGCAAGCTGACGGTCAAGGCCCTTCCACAAAACCTTAGGAGACTGAACAGCCCTGAAAACAAGTCGACATCACGAAACCTCGCGCAACCGTACACCTGAACCAAGCAAACTGTACACTGACTACATCTGCGGGAGAAGGGATAAGCCCGACACCAGACTCGCCTTCATGGCATCTGGATCGCGCTTCGAGACGCGAGTAAACCGTGCCTGTTGATTCGACTTTTTGTGGAGTTGTGTTGGTATTCTGGGTGCTGATGCAAACTTCGAGGGCTCTGGGGTGGATGATGAGTGGTGCAGCAGGCATCTCACTGATTGCCCCCTGACTTTCTGACACCTCAATGGCTCAAGGGCTCAAGGTTTAGTCGCTCTGGTAAACGAAAGACTAGCTTGTGAACTGTGGTCGGGCATTCCAAAGCCATCCGATCCTCAGAGCAACCCAGTGCAAGTCAAACCCTCGGCCCTCGACCCCTTCATCTGTGGACGCAAGTCGACCTCTCAACAAATGGCGTGGAGCTTCAGCAGCAGAGCACCAACTCCTCCTCCTCACCCCAGACTCCAAGCCAAACAGCCAAAACCCCAACCCTGAAACCTTCGTTTGTACAGCCCGAAAATTTCGATCGTTGCGGGCTCGCCGAAGCCTAAACCAACGAAGCGAATCACATCATTGGTTGGTATGTTTAGTTACACTCTGTCGACCCGGCCGCCCATAGCACCTTGCCATCAAAGCGACTTTTTCTGGGAGCTGGCCTGAGCTTTCAGAGTACTAAACCCCTAAACCCTAAATCCGGAACCCTAAACCCTAAACCCCTAAATCCCTAAACCCTAAACCCCGAACGTAACTAGTATTTTTGGGGGCTTGATGTCTGTATTTCCTGTCAGCTTGCTGGGCTGAACCAAACATCTCTGAATTCGAGTATGAACTACAAAACTCTACCTAACCCTCAGACCAAACCGACAACATACCATGCATGGCAGGTTGACAAAGAAGGCTGCAATTGCACTAAATCCGATGAAACATATAGTATCGCTTCAAAAGGGTATGCCACTGACACGATTCATTATCCTTGTGGGACGAAGATTCCGCAGTACCGTATAGATGTCTGATGCTGAAGACCGTGATAAACACAACATTGCCCAATTCAATGTATGATGCTGAAACTTTTTCGGTCAAAACCAGTATGTGCTGAAAGGCAGCGAAGAACTTAGATCAAGAGATGTCACGAACAAACGCCACAGGGTCTTGCTTGTGGGGCCAAGAATGCTCCAGTCTCAAAGCTGCGAATGGGAAGTTGTTGCTCCAGGTCAGGACTTCCTACATGCCCGAATTGAAGTCCCTGATTCCGGAAAGAAAGCGCAACTCAGTCTGCATGCATGTTATAGCTGTTCGGTCGTCTGCAGGTGTGAATGTCTGTCTTTTTCTTTGCGGCCGTAGCGGCTCCAGCTCCGGCTCAGCGGCAAACTCAAAGGAGACCACTCTCCTCAGTTGTTTGGGGTGCCCCGTTTTGATCCAAGCCTAGTACGACGGCCGGTACCCTTTACTGTCATGAACAATATAAACCCTAACCCTTCATTCGGGGGGTGAAAGTTGTTCCAAGCGGAAGGAAGCCTGGAGGGTTTCGGCCGCACAGATTTCAGCGGGGTGGACTAATAAAGATTACATCGGTGCGGAGTACTTGCAGCCGATTGCGTTTGAGAACGGGTGGGGCTTGTACAAGCCCAAACAGATTGAAGAAGCCCGGATGCCGAAAACAGCCCTCTACATGGTAACATACCGCAACCCCTTACAGCCTAAAACACATCCCAGCATCGTGGATGTCGGGCCGTCGCTGTCTACATCCGTCACGACCACGGACGGAGGCCTCGGTTCTCGTGTGATCTTCTCCTTTCCTTTCTTCTGGGGGGTTTCTTCTGAGAGGAACAGCACCACTGCAAGGACTGAGGGTCGTGGATGTAAAGCCTGAGGGCGTAGAGTTCAGGCTATAGCGGGCTCAGGCCAGGAAACAATCCAGATCAAACTTTTGGAGAAGCAGGAACTTCTCTACCCAGAACCCAAACCCACAGGACTCAAAAAGAGTGGGCTCTCTCAAAACCCAGTAGTGATCCGTTTGAGAGCCCCAGAAAAGGAAAGATAATGCCAACTGCAAACAGAACAGCTCGAGACAGATCAAGGGGTACAGTTTATTGTCATTCTGCGAGAGATGGGAGATGTGCCTTTGCCAAGAAGAAGTGCCTCGCCGGATGTTCCAGCAAAGCTCTTCTGGATGGCTTTGTACAAAGACGGTCAGGGCCGCCCGTAAAGGAAATGGACAGCTGGGTAGCTGGCAAAGACCCAATTAGGAACCCCTAGACAACAATAGGAGCCGGCAAAGCAACCGTTTTCAAGATTACATAAGACTTTACGGGAATCATTATTTTAACCGCAGCCCTTATAGCGCCATAAACGGTTCCAGCAGTTCGAGTTTTCGCAGCTGCCCAGCTCCGTGGTGGTAGGAGAATGGTTGAAAACCTCTTACCTGCAGCTACCAGATCTAGGATAGGCTTCTTCATGAGGCACCGACATAGCTGTAAGCATCTCGTAGGTCACCGATCCTCCCCCCTCTCTTCGTTTGCCCTGGGCCCTACACATCGTATACCCTCTATCTCCAAACCTAAGACTCTAAATCCCGAGACCAGCCCTAATCCCCCTAAACCACCATTCCTCACCTCAGGTCCTTCGTTCAACAGTCGGTCTTCAGCCAAAGAGATCCCGGCGATCCTGCAGCAAAGGATGGTTGCTCCGAGCTGGGATTCCACAAGACGCTCCCACATTGCAGTTCTTGTTTCTATAATTGCAAGAGCTGTGTGCTTGTCATAACTACGGCGACTGTTGTTGCCATTGCTGCGAAAGCCGGTTGCGATTACTTCTAGCAACACAGGTGACAGAACAGCCATCGAAACTGCATCGAACATCAAATGCCCTGAACACTCATATTCACAAACGCTTTCAAACAACCCGGGAAACAAGTCAATGACCCCAACCTGGAGCAGCGTCGAAGTCAAGTGCTCGAGCATTGCCTGTTTTACTCGAGACTGAGGGTGTGGGGAGGCCAGAGCTAAAAATGCGTGTTTCGTGGTTTCCGGTGGAGTTCAAGATTTAAAGTTGGGCTTCTACCGTTTGGGAATCAGGATTCAGAACTTAGGGCTTAGCGTGATCAGTTTTAGCATAGGCTCTTTCGGCTCTGTTTCGGGTTCTGGGGTTGCAGGTATGATTTAGGGACTTATCGGGAAACTTAAAGGCTTAGGGCTTCGGGTTTACCCGAACCCATGCCCGAAACCCGCAAGATGGCTGTAAACGACAAGTCTACAAGCCCTAAGAGCCGAAAATGCCGAACTAGCATGGAAATAATAACCCAAACCCTCTAAACCCTAGGAGCATTCAGCCCTACGTGAACCCTGAATCCCGAGCGCTAGGGTGCCCGGCGCGCACGTCATCCACCTTCCTCTCCACATCGGCGATTCGAGTGGGATCCTGTGCCAGATACTTTGGAATATATATATATATATATATGTATGCTATATACTATATACTGTATAAGTTACATTCTACGCTTCATATACTACTGTATACCATATTCTACATGCTTGATACTATGTACTGGATACTATACTATCCTATTTTGCAGAAATACAACATAGTCCAGCCGTGAATCGGATTGCCAGAGGTCGTTCAAAGGTGCTTTGTATCACGACAGGTTTAGCCAGAGCTTAGGGCCATCGCTATTCAAGGCTTGTCCTGATGAAACAACCCTTTCTTCACTATGCAATACTTGGGAGTTTCCGAGAATTAGGGTACCTTATTTTGGGTCCTAATAAGGATCCTACTACATAGGGTGCTACATTAGGGTCCCCTATTTTCGGAAACCCCCACTTAGTTGTCCGTCAAAGTATCCCCGACAGCGGACCCCGGCCGCATCCCTCTTGCGCTGTAGGCGGCTCCTGAGACTGCGACTTGTCCGACAACTTCTGCATGGCTTCTCGCACCTTCGACGAAGTTAGTCCAGTGGCCTTACTTGTAAGCATAAGACTGTGGTTTCGGGGTTACCATAGTCTATGTATAACAGAGAACCTGAAAGCCAATATGTAAAGCCGCTGAAATCGGCAATTGCAAGACCTTCATCCAACCAAAGCTCCAAAAGCAACAGCAAAAATATATCGGAACGTCTGCGACTGGAAGGGCCCTAACTTAAACCCTACCCCCTGAACCCGATCCCCCTAATTTTGTACGTCCGCAAGACTCATATGTAGTGCCCTGCTCCCGTGGCCCAACTCACCAGAACGTGCTTTCTCTTCGGACCTCGCGTCGCAGCTCGGACATCTTTTCGTGGACGTTCATGTCCATGCCTTGGCTTCACTCCGTGATTTTTCTGTTGGTACGGGACTACAATGACTGCAAGAACTGCAATCGAAGCCACCCAACTACGTGAAACTTGGCACCTGGACCACGATCCATTCAACCCCAAGACAAACAAACTTGAGGGTTTCGGGTGCCAAGGACTCTTCCGAGCTGCTATCGAAGTCTGAACTGATGTCCCCCCAACTGGACGGCGCCCGTGGATAGGCGTACCAAACCTTGTCATGCACAAATCCAAGCGGCAGAGTTCAGTTCAGACCACAGCTTTCACCGACATCTGTATGTTGAGAGGCAGGGGACTGTATGGCACTGTACCGTGTCAGTTGACGCCGACGACAAACATCAAGGTTCAACTAACTATATGCATCGAAGTACATCTATACTGAACTCTCTGTGTTTGTTTGGATAGATGCACACACACACACACATACACTCGTCAACACATCCGAAAAGTGTATACGTCAAGGAGACCCAGGTTCAGTTCTCAACTTCCGCAGTACGTTTGCTGGATGAAGCCGGATGGCATAGTCCGCATCCTCCTCACCCCGCACTCGTCGCTTTTGACAAGGGCATTTCCTGAGTTGCTGCGAAGATCACGGGACTGCGCCTTGTACCGCAAAGTTACCATTTCCAGAGCCCTCAAACCCAACCCAAAGCTTTCTTGCAATCCGACATCCACGAACCCTGAAACCCCCAAAATGACCGAACACGAAACTCGCGATCAGCTTCTTCCAGGCATAGGACATGGTGAAGTGGTTCACCTCACATGCGAGGCATCTTTTTAGTCAAGGCCATGTCCATAAAATCCAAGCCATAGCCCTAAAACCTGAATCCCTACATCACTTCCCTCCCCACAACGCAAGGATAGGGCAACATCTCTAAATAACACTTTAAGTGTAAGAACACCACAACCTTCACTCACTCAGCTAGGGACTTGAGCTTAACTCTAGACTCCGGGCCCCCCGGAAGGCTCAACCCGTTTTGCATCCGGTCCTTGGGAGTCGGCTGGGAAAGTTGCGCAGGCAAGTATACAGGAAGCAATTCAACTCATGGTCTTCGCTCGCAGATGCAGCTCAAACAAACCACAAACCCTAAACCTTGTACACTATAACGGGCTTAGGGTTTAGGGTTTAAGGGGGCAACCCTATATAGGCCCAACAATGTCTTAATCAGCGCCGGGGTCGCCAAGAAGCGCGACCGCTCCAGGAGGAACAGTCGCTCCCGATGCTCCCATCCTCTCTCTTTCTCTCTTTGGGGTTTTGGGGTAGCAGGGTTTAGGGTAGCAGGGTTTACTCCCATCCTCTCTTTGCCTCTCTCTAACGGAAGGATTGGAAATGAGGGCTTGGGATCTTGGAGGGCGATTCCATGAGCTCTGCAGTAGACAATCCCTAACCCTACTCAGTAGATCCCCAAGCACCCTCTACCATCCATGTACAGTCTACCCCAGACTACCAGCGATCTGTTGAGTGGTTCGCGGGGGTCCTCCTGGCTTAGATCTTAGGGGGTTGGATTTCCGAAAAGTGCCTCGATTGTAGCTCTCGGCGAGAACGCCGATGAGCACGTTGAGCAAGATAATGGACATGCTGAAGCTCATGACCTGTCAGGGTCTCCCGAGTTTATACTGTCCAGGGTTTGCGGCTTTAGGGCGGTTTTTTGCTGTTCTAGCGATGCAGTGGGCAGCAACAGGCTGTACCCAGGAAGCTGGACATAATGCCGAAGCGCCGCCAAGAGACCATGATAACAAAGTCCACCAACAAACGCCATTGAGCAGCGTTGTCACCCGAAGGCAGCATTACATCCGAGGTTTCCGCTAAGAACCCCAGATTGTACAGAATTGTGGTGCCGCTCCAGAAGTCACCCAGTCCGAAGGAGTAGTACAAATGCACAAAGGCAGCAAACCAGCAGAAGACCACGAAAAAGAAGGGGCCCGTAGCCGGCACAGCTTGCAAAATGGGCAGCATCGGTTTGCCGGTGCTCTCAAATCCTTTGAGGCTGTTGAGAACACGGAGCCACCGGAGGAAGCCAGTGCAAGCGAAAATCAACCTGAGCATCAACTCTGAAGCTCTATTCACAGTCAAAGGCCGAGGTCACATAGATACAACAATAAAATAACACATGTAGGCGCATCCAACCGGCACGAACATACATAGTGTTTATGGAAAATGAGCCCAAAAACAGGTCTTAATGCGGCGCTCCGCAAGTGCCAAAAGAAGCCCTACACCCGAAAGGTCTCGACCGCGAGGCTGCGCATCAGCACTCACGAACGTGAACCGCAAGGTCTAGAGTCGACGTCTAGAGGCTTTGGGATTTGGACCAAGGAAGGTCACAACCATTAACGTGTGTTTAGAACCTGAAGTTTTGGGGTCCTGAAGCTTTCAACCAGCCGTCAAGGAGCTGCAGTTCTTGCTGGGTCTGAAATGCGCCCCAATTGATGGACAAGCCAACGAGACTGACAGCTGTGATCGAGAT